AGAAAAAAAACCAGTGGGGAGCGCGTCCGTAAGTCGACATGTATGACTTTCCTTAAATATATAGACAAGTTGACAGGTTTAACAATAAACAAATAATTTATTAAGTGTCTAAAGCTAATATACAGGTGAGTGATATAAGTTCGAAGGTTACATGTTGTTAAATAGCGATTTCGAAATATATATAATCACCAAGACTGGCGACTGCACGCCAGTCTTGATGATTATATATCTACGCTATATCGCGTGCCTAATTTCTGTCTCGAGAAGAGAGTTCCCAATTTGAGCTAGCAAATACAGGTAGGCCTCTTACAACGCGGTAGATACGTTCCTTGAAAATACCGCATTGTGGGAAATCGCGTTATAAGAGACACCAACTCAATACAAAAATTGGGATTTGGTTCTAAAAAGAGAAAAACTTGGCGTTTGAATGGCGTTTGTTTAATTTTTCAAACCAGCCATTGGTAGCCACGAATTTAACACTGGTTTAATCAGCTGACCAGTGGCGTAGCGTAGTGGGGGCGGCAGACGCGGAACTTTTAGGGGGCGGCAAAATTTCATAATAAATAATAATAATATCTTGTAAAAATTTAAACCATTTCATATTTTTGTCGCACCTATGATTCGGACCGATTGAAATGAGCACAGAATTGTTCATTACTTATTCTGTGACGAAACTGAATTTTAGTCTTTTAAATTGAGANTTGTCTCTGTACATCATACTTTTCCTGTTAACAATGAAGTTGTGCCGGTCATGTAGCTAACTCCATTAGGAAAAAAATGAATATTTTTCTTTAATGGAGTTTATTTTTTGAATTGAAATGACGTGACTTCCAGCCCAAAGCAGAAGTTTGTATATAGTTAATCGGGCTTCTTGTCTGTAATCTTTCCATATCTGGTCTTGATTTTTATCTATCTAATACCATTCTCAACATTAAGGAAGAACAGACAGCAGACAGGCAACAGTGAGAATTTTGCAATTTTTTCGAATTACAGCCCAAAAAATAAAAGTACAAATTTAAAAGTTATTTTAATTATATTCAAAAATATTATCTTCATTTACAATAATACATTTATGGCTATACAGTTCAAATGTACAAAAATATTCTAACTGTCAAAATTTAATTTACATCAATGAAAAAATCAGTAAACTTAGTTTATTTGGATGACAATTATCACATCACGTGTCTTAGCTTAAATAACTACAGCAAATTTATCAGCTTTCAAGACAAATTTAAATAGAAATGCCTAATAAGATCAATTAAAGCATAGATTGAACACTCAAATAAACAAGCACGAACTGAGTGAGGTGTGTATACTTTTCTTTGTTGATTTTAGGGAAAAAGTTCGATGTCAGATGAATATGTCTTCAATACACAAAGAATGCACATTTTATAAATTGATTGTAGACCAAGAAAGAGCTATTTGATGAATTTGGAATTCCAATTTAAAATTAGCACATAACTCTGTTTCATCACATAACCTGCACTTGCTTTAAATTACCTTTAGACAACTCACAGGTTATCTGCCTGAAATCGTATTTCCAGTTGTTTTGTGATATTTTCCGTCTGTTTAAAGTATACATTTATAAATCATTAAACTATTGTATTACTATAGTTAATATCTAGTTATACAATCATTCACAAAATACTATATACAGAAAACTATTTCAAATTTTCATTATAATAAACAAAACTTCAAACTAAAAATGCTAAAACAAAGTAGTCCCAGTTATCAAAAAGACATGTAATTCAGAAACATGTTTCATTCCATTTATTCTGTAGCCTAAATCAAGGTTGGAAACATTTCTGATTAAATTTATATATTTTGATAACCAATACTTTAAAGCAGTTCATTTTATTGGGGCCATAGGAAGGAGGAATAAAGTGATTCCATAGGGGAAAGTCTATTGGTTTGATCTGTGTTACGTGATAGCCAGTGATTTGAAATTATTGTTTATTTATAACATTGGCTGCAAAAAGTGGTTTGGACCGGCCAGATCCATTCCTACGACCTTGTTTAATATTATCATTTTTTTTATTTTCTTCACTGTTTATTAATTGTATTACATTATCAACTAATATAAATCATAAAATATATATTTAATAAATTGATTGTAACTTTATAATGTCTGTAATTTTCTCTTTCACAAATTTGTGTTCTAGTCATAATTAAATGCTTATGTTTGCCACAAACCATAAATTACCATATACTGTTAAATAATAGGCCTAATTTATATATTAAAATATTTGAAAATACATCATCTGAATATTTTAAACGTAACTGACTTTTTAATATTTATTAATATTAATATAAATAGCAATTTCCCACATTTGATGTCAATTTGAAAAGAATTATTATCATATGAAATAATATAAACTTCAATAAATTTTTTTCTTCTTTTCTTACCAAATCAATGAAATAGTTGGATATATTGGATCAGTATTCAATAGTAAGTAGAAATTTACTTTTTTCTCCAATTCAATAATTAATGCAATTGCACTTTTACCATTGAAAAGACTTTTTAATAAAAATATTCAAATTATTATTTTTATCATAGATTACTAATTATATGCAAACAATGATAATATACTTTTATACAAAAGGTTTCAAATGTTTTGGGTTCATTAAATCATTTTATTATTAGTAATTTGTATTTTGAGCAGTTAATACTTACAAAATTGTTTTGTATTTTAACCTTTTTACAGTAGACCTATGGGTAAACTACTTACTTTTGCTTTCAGATACATTATTAAATTTTTAATATACGATATTCAATTAATGTAGTTATGCATAATATGATATAAAATCTACATATATATTTGAAAATACTACTCACAAGTACTCGAATATTAAAGCTGTGGTTGATATTCAAATTCGAGAAAAAGTATATTTGCCCACCTCTATTATATATATATGTTTGATGGAATAAGTACTGAAAAATGTTTTAGGTAGCTAATCAGAATCAGAATTTTGCCTCAGTTAGGTAATTTATAGACCTCAAGTACAAGAAGCGCATGTTTCATTCTACTGGTGAAGTTTTGAATAATAATTAGGAGTTTGTTAAACTAGAGGTTATCAACCTTTCATCAGGGACTGACTGGTAAAATTACAGATAATTTTACCTGGACAGGTAATTCTGTTTATTTATTATGTTTATCTAGAGTTACCATATGGACTTTGTTACGTAAGGTAACTATAGATTACTATTTAAATATCACCCATAATGGATGGTGCCAGCTTCAGTACAGTCAAATATTTTTATTTGGACCGTTGGAAACTGTTGAAATTTTTTGCAGAGTGGCACTAGTCTGTGAATTGGCCATGGAAAAACACTGTGATAAACACTGCATTTGAATTTTGTCTGAGACATTACCAAATCCAGTAAATAGTTATTTAGGGCCTACTGTATTTGGTAACTAACTAACTGTTTTTCATATGTAGACTATTTAAAGATCTTATAATATTGGAAATTGAAAAATCAAATGTAAATTGTTCTGTATTCAGATGTTCTAACATACTAGCAAATACTTGACACATAATACCAAAAATTTTACATTATTGTTTTTCGGAATGTCCAAGCCTTAAGCATAGGTGACAAATTTGGACAAACTTTGCTAAAAGAAGAAAGTAATACAAAATATATTGTTAATTTTTTAAAAGTGGATATCAATAATTTTTTAAAACTATTCATGTAAATATGGTAAAAATGATCATGGCACAGATATGCAGTATGCATTCATAGGTGGGAAAAAGGTAAAGACCATCAAAATTTACCATTGAAAAACCAATACTTAAAAATTCATACTTCTTTTTAAAAATGGCCAACGATTTTTACACATTAAAAAGTACATAGAAGAGATCATTTTAACTACATTGCATATTTTTGTGGAGGCATAGTCTCAACAGAAAACTCATTCCTAGTGATTGGACATGGCAAAATTGAAGATATTTAATATCTCTTGTACAGTAGACCCCCTATAACGCTTAGATACGTTCCACATTATTCGAATTTTATGTTGTAGGAATCATTAAATACATGAGCCAATCGCAGCCCGACACGTGTGAAGTTTACGGACTAATGCTGTTTGAAAGGTTTTCTTCTGTAAAATTAACCGATTCTAGACTAATTACACTCAACATTTCCAAAACACGTATAATTTTTTGGGAATAATCCGTATAAACTATGCTATAAACAAAAAATTGTAGGATTACTTACCGAGTGTGCACCGTTTGACTATGCCATTGCTCAAGCTTGTTTTTGCCATAGAACAGCGCACGAAACAGCGGCCACGATTTCTGATAACGAATTTTTCACAGAAAAATAACTTGACCTTTGGAGGCATCATTAATATAAATAATTTTTATGGCCATTGAATAAGAAATGTTTCTTTCACAAGAAATGTATAAAATTACAGTGCTGTATTAGACTTACGGTACCTAATTTACATACTGTACAGACGATAATAAACTCAACTTACTAGCCTAAAATCTCCGTAGCGTGTTGCCAGGCGGCAGAAAGCATATATATAATTATAATAAAATTACAATAAATTAAGTTAATATATAATTATATATACAGTACCTAATTTATATATAATTAATATATAATTATATGTACAGTACCTAATTTATATATAATGCTGTACAGACGATAGCAAACTCAATTTAGCCGCCTAAACTCTCTGTAGTGTGGCGCTGGGCGGGGGAAAGTAGTTCAGCTACTCGTCCACTATTGGTCCAGATTCAACCAATCTTGTCGTGGCAGGAGTAGGCGACAACCTTTTACGAGTCACTTTATATGAATACTGCTACAATTTTTTTGCTACGTCATAGGAATTTCTGTTATAGGAACCCACGTTATAGGGGGGGTCGACTGTATGCATTTTTAATGTGAAAAATGGTCTGCCCTTTTTATAAAAGAAATGGTACTAAATGTTAAATTTATTTATTGTATCATAAATGAGAGACCAGTATAATTTTTTAAATAAAATAAATTTTGCTTACAGGAAGGTAAACCATTGGGTTTCACAATATTGAAGTTTACCATAACGGATGCTGATGCTCCTCCGAATACTTCACCTTTCAAGTTCGATATTTTATCGGGAAACGAAGAGTTGGCTTTTCGAATCGTTCAGCAAGATGGCACGTTGAGAACAGCTACGAAATTCGATCATAAATATCGAAGTGAATACATATTACACATTAAAGCAACTGACAACGGTAATCCTCCTCTGAGTAGTGATACCTGGGTAACCATCATAGTAATCGAAGAAAGTCAATTTGCTCCGATTATTACCCCTCTAGACGTGGCTGTAAGTTCGTATTTAGACGATTTTCCTGGAGGAGTGGTGGGTCGCGTTCATGCCATGGACGAAGATCCATACGACAAGTTGGTTTACCACATTGTCTCTCCGCATGAAACGCTATTTACTGTGGATCGTGAGGATGGCACATTGTTTGCCTTGGCTGGTTTAGATGTGGGCATTTATGATGTTAACGTTAGCGTCAGTGATGGAAAATTCACTTCTTTCACTACAGTAACTGTGGAAGTGGCTGTGGTGACGGAAGATGCTAGAAAACACAGCGTGGCTGTTCGTCTAAATGATGTTACACCCGAAGACTTTCTTTTAACGTATCGCAAAGGATTTCATCGTGGATTACGCAATATACTTAACGTCCGTACAAAAGATATTGAAATCATCAGTATGCAGCCCACAGTGGAAGAAAATATAAGAAAAGAAAGAAGTGCCCTTCAAGATTTGGATGTAGTTTTTGCCGTTCGTAAAGGAAATCGTGGATTTTATCCTCCGAAACTAGTCCGATCCAAGCTCAAGGAGAAAAAAGAAACTTTAGAAGCAAGTTTAGGTCTTTCTGTAGTAAAGGTATGTATATGTGTATGTATATACAGGTAACCCCCGTATAACACGGGAATTACGTTCCAAAAATTTGCCGTGTTATATGAAACAAAGAACTAATGTGAAAAGGGGGGTTAGGTTCCAAAAAATAAAAAACATGCTGTTAAATCCTTCTTTAAATTGGATTTATTATTCAATTTTTTTATGGGTAAAATACTTATTTATTATTTAAGTAAATATTTTACCAGATGATTATTCATCCTAAATGATTATCTCAGCATGAACATCATCAACTGGTAACAGTTTTTGAGTGCTTTCATTAGTAGTGGTCGCTCTGCATCTTTGCTACAATGGGAGTGCGCTGCTGTTTGTAGGCATTTAGAAACAACGGTGAAAGAAAGAAAGATGGCAGCGCCCACACTATCGATAGTATTGTGATGGAGGAATCTATAATTTTAAAATATGAGCTTTTAGAGGCAAAAGAAGGGTCTCAATTGTAAATTTAACCATTAAATGGGTTATTTGTTGAAAGAGCATTTAAAGTAGTGATGAAAAACATTAGAATGTTCGCGTGGAGTTACGCAGAGGTATAAAAGAACGCACCCTTTATTACATTTCATGTTAAACGAGGGTTTTACCCAATTTCCGAATCGTGTTAGAGTGAACCTGTGCTATAAAAGCATCATGTTATACGGGGATATGTCCCAATTCTCGAACCATGTTAGAGTGAATCCGTGCTATAGAAGTGCCGTGTTATATGGGAGTTACCTGTATATATATTAAACTTATGTCAACAAAAATATATATTTTTCAGACTGAATATTTTTAATTATTCTAAGTATATAGATAACATTTGTTTATAAATTTCATTACTATGTTTTTTAAATTGGTATAAAGTAAGAAGTAATTGTAAATATGGATTTAGTAGAGGCAAAACAATGTGCAGTTGCTGCATTTTATGAAAGAGCGGTTAAAAGTTTGGATTATTCTTGAGTGATGGTTGTTTCCATCTAATGTCGATGTTTGATTCTGTTAATATAAAAGTTTCAGGTGGCAACTTGTGTCAAATGGCTATTAGAGGAAAACCTCTACTGTTGTTTATGTCTTGTGTGGTTAGAAGCTTTGTCTAAAAATTACTAATGAATTTCATAAAAGACTGGTGGAACTGGTTGAAAAGTAAAGTACAGTAGACCCCCCTATAACGCTTAGATACGTTCCACGCTAACCGAAAATTACGTTGTAGGAACGATTAAATACATGAGCCAATCGCAGCCCAATAGGTGGGAACTTTACAGACTAAGGCTGTTTGAAAGGTTTTCTTCTATAAAATTAACCGATTCTAGACTAATTCCACTCAACATTTCCAAAATACGTATAATTTTTTGGGAATAATCTATATAAACTATGCTATAAACAAAAATTATAGGATTACTTACCTAGTGTGTACCGTTTGACTATGCCGTTGCTTAAAGCTGGTTTTCATCGCGGAACAGCACATTAAACGACGGCCGCGATTTCTAATAACGAATTTTTCGCATAAAAATAACTTGACCTTTGGAGACATCATTAATATAAATAATTTTTATGGACATTGAATAAGAAGTGTTTCTTTCACAAGAAATGTATAAAATTAGTGCTGTATTAGACTTACGGTAC